AGGTGTAGGGCTTACTGTTTCAGGCTGGGGACGAGAGTTGGTTCACTTCCTGTGCCTCTGCTTCCTCCGTTGTCCGACGCGAACGAGCTGGATGCAGGTGTCCGAGGCTTGCCCTGAGGACCTCTGGTAGCCTGATGCACATCAGGTGCCCGCACTCCCTTAGGATTCTGGTAAACACTCCATCAAAGGCTGCGCCGGTTCATCTCCTGGTAGCTCAGCGGGTTGGGCATTGGATCGCTAACGGCCAGGTTGGTGGTTCAAAACCCACCTGCGGCAATGTGGGAGAAAGCTGAAGCTGTCTGCGCCCAGAAAGAGCTGCCATCTCAGAAACCACACGGTGTAGTTCGACTCTGCCGGGTGATCGGGCCGCTGGCAGTGGGGTTTGGGGGTGGTTTTTAGGGTGAGCCTTCCTCTGGACATGTGAATGGGAGGGACATGATGAAGGCCATCCTGCTCAGTAAAGTGGAGGGGCCGTGGAAGGAGAGGAAACCCTAGACGGATCCAGGCAGGTCAGCAACGAGCTCGGTAATAGCCACCACCACGGTGCCAATGGTGCAGAACGCGGCGGCGTCTGGTTCTGTGTCCATTGGGCCGCACAGCGGTGACACTTAGCCGACTGCACATCCAGCAGGCTCTCTGCCACCATGTTTGGTATAAAAGGGTAAAGTGGCTACCCGGCCACCTCTTCCCCCTGGAATGAACTGCGAGAATGAGTACCTACGGGCGGAAGTGCACCAGCACAGAGGAACCCCTGTGGTTGGGTTGAGTCTGACGCCCAGTGACCCCAGAGGTGGAGCTGCCCCACAGGTTCCCCCAGCCAGGTGCTGCACCCTCCTCCTTCAGAGCCAACGAGGGGTTCGAAGGCCAGCCTTTTCGTTAGCAGGCAAGTGCGACACCCCCAGGGCTTCTGTGCCAATGTATTTCTGTCATTATTTTTGAAAAGGAAATCACCATATTTTGGTCCTTAGGTGATGAGTACACTTGCATTTTCAGGGCTGAAAACGGCTGTGTGCTCACCATCCCTGCACGTCAGGGTGTGCAGTTTGTACGCCTGGAAGCAACACAGGCTTTCCCCAGGAGCCGGTCTCTGAGGTCGTTTTGGCTTTAACGCGAGCCGGCCAGCAGTGTTACAACTGTAGTAATAATCACGTTAGGTAATATTTACCGATGCCGCTGCAATAAGTACAACAAATAAGATGCAAAACGTACTATTCCTGCAGTATCCAAAGTATCTCCCGAGGAGAACTTATTGATGAATTCCAAAAGGTAAAATACTTACCAGTTCAGTGATGAAGTCAGGGACAAAACACCCAACACATGAAAACCCAGCAAAGAAAACAAACAAACAAGACCCACAAACCAAATACAAGTTCAGTGCATGTCACCGCATGTGAATTAATGTCGGCCTCTAAAACTTCAAAAGCAGGCAATCACATTGGCTCAGCTGTAGCCACAACAGCCTCCTTGGTGATGCCCAAAGACTGAAGCAGTCAAATACATCACGCACTAAGAATGGGAACTCCACAGTGTCCATGGAAACTGGAGAGACGAAGACTAATAAGACGGCTCCTGCATCACTCTAAAGGGGCTCCGGTGGCTTGGAGGTTATGCATTGGGCTGCTAACCGCAGGGCCAGCAGTTCGAAACACCAGAAAGCCAAATGAGGCTTTCTCTACTCCCGTCAAGAGTTATAGTCTCAGAAACTCACAGAGCATTTTTTTTTGGTGACCCGTAATATTTTATTTTATTTTTATAGATCATTTCATTGGGGGCTCTTCCAGTTCTTGTAACAACCCATCCATCCATTGTATCAGGCACATTTGTACGTGTGCTGCCATCGTCATTTCCCAAACATTTCCTTTCTACTTGAGCCCTTGGTATCGGTTCTTCTTTTTCCCCCTCCCTCCCCTTTGTTTGATGAACAAAGAAACGTGGGCCCACAGAGCAATTCTGTTCTGTTCACCGGGGTCACTGTGAGTCGGAATCAACTCGATGGCAGTGAGTTGATTTTTGTATACGAAGGTCCCTGGTGGTGTCGTGGGATCTTTGGGCTGTGATCCGCAAGGTCAGCAGTTCGAAACCACCAAAGAAAGACTGAACTTTCTACTCTTGTAAAGAGTTCCAGCCTCAGAAGCTCACAGGGACAGCTCTACACAGCCCTATAGAGTGGCTAAGAGTCAGCACAGACTTGATGGCAGTGGTTTTGGTTTGGGTAGAAATAGAGTAAATTTCTAGAATCCTCCCTGAGCGCCAATGCACTGAGTCACTATAGCAACCTCTACACCCAAACTCCTGATGGCTTTTTGAGAGGAGCCTGGTGGTATAATGGTTACGACTCAGGCTGCAATCTGCATGATTGGCAGTTCAAAACCCCCAGCAGCTCCACAGGAGAAAGACTGGGCTTTCCACTCCCTGTTTTATATAAGGGATGGATAGATTTATTAAATAATCACTGGTCGCCATGCTTAACAAACAAACAAACAAGCTGCTTTGCCGTAGATAAAAATGAAGGCTGGGGCAGGGCAGGTGGCTGGGGCGGCAGAGACAGGAAGCCCTCTTGGGGAACCTTTGTCCCCAGATGAAAACCTTTCACAAATGATGACCAGTGCGTTCCATAGAAAGCAGCGTCTTTGACCTGCTCGGTGGCGACCGCATCTCAATGAGCATTTCGGCATTCTGACGGGATTGTCTGCGGCCAGTTTGCCCAGGGTCGC